TGCTTTCTCACTCTTCAGTGAGTCTGTGGGCCAAAAATTTTTGGAAAAGGGGCATAGCGGCAGCAACGACCTCGGATTTGTTTTTACAAGCTAACTTGTATTTTCGAAGATTCTTCCGGGAACACATGTGTACGATGATTAATAAAAGGACAAAAAAAAAACGCAACGGAAAGACGAAAAGCTTATAAAGCAAAAAATTGCAAACCTGCATATCCAGATCATCAGGCTGTATGTTGAACGTATTCGCAAATGCCTGTCGCACACAAAAAGTCATACATGATCGGTTGACCCACGCAAAGTTAGCAGCAGCAGCCATTCCTTTGAGGTAATCCTGGCCTACAAAGGACGTAAATTAAGAGATGAAACAATTTTCGGAAGATCACTAGCTCACCTTCATTAGAGTAAAGTCTAGCACAGGCTAGTTGCCTGTCATTAACAGAGATGCCATCACGGGCCATTGCTTTCTCCATTTCTACCAAAGCGTCCGTGGCTACTTGATGCCCAAGTCCACGGCTACCACAATGCAGCATCACCACAACTTGGCCTGAAAGGCATTTCAGCTGACCTATTCTTACCAACTTCTAGCTACACCTTACCCTTCTCTGCGATGCCCATTTTCGCTGCTGCATGCTTGTCATAGATCTCGTCTATGACTTGGACTTCAGCATAATGATTTCCTGCGCCAAGAGTACCCAACTGTAAAATAAATCTATGGTAAATCGACTAAGGCAATTGAAGCTACCTGTGGAAGGCCTCGCTTCTTGGCTCTGGTCGAGACTTTAGTGGCGTCTGCTTGCAACATTCGACCATACTCTTCACAGTGCTCCTTGTCTTCTGCCCAAGAATAGCCTTCACGTAAAGTCCAATCCATACCCATTTCTAAGCAGCTGAAAGGCTACCATAAAATATCACGAGAGAAGGAAGCAAAGTAACGTACTCAACAAGATCAGCCGCTGACATGGGAATCGCACCGCGTGATCCGACGCCCACAGGGATATAGTCAAAGAGTGCTTGGGTTAGTTGTTCCTATAATGGTATGGCGAGGAAAAAATTTGAATACCGATGGTAAGTATGGAATCCAATA